AGCAGTTGTAGGGAAATATTAATAAACCCACTAAACCAGGGCTTTTCAACCTTTTCACCCATTGTACCACTTTTAGGATATGGCAATATCCAAATACCACCAGTCGCCTAGTAAGGTGTCAAAAACCTGATGATCAAAAAAAAAAAAAAGGAAAAAAGTGATAAAGTACAGATAGTCCTCGACTTACAACAGTTCACTTAGTGACTGTTTGAAGTTACAATGGCACTGAAAAAAGTGCCTCCTGAGGCACAGCCGAGCAAGACGCCTGCCCACCTGGTGGCGCTCTTCCTCCTGTCCGAGGTTTTATTGTTGTGAGCATTTCTGTTGAGGATTGGCAGCGGGGGTGGGGTGGGGGGTGTTTGGTTTTTGTTCCCCCATCTGCTGGGTGGTTGCAGCAGGTTTTGGTCACTTCACATGACCCTGGGACACTGTGACCATCATAAATATGAATCAGTTGCCAAGCATCTGAATGTAAATCACAAGACCCTGGAGAGGCTGCAACATTCCAGCTGATCGGCGCTTCTTCTGGGCTCAGAAGCGCCAGGATCAGTGTCGAGCTCCAGCTGGAGCCTGGCGCTGATCCTGGCGCTTCCGCTAAGCCCTGACAGCCCTGCAGCTCCAGCCATCTCTCGCTCAGGCTTGTGCGGTGCTGCCACCGGTTCAATTCATTCCCCTTCCCCGCTACCACTTTTCTAGGATGGTCCCGTACCACCTGCCAGGTGCCAATGTACCACAGGTTGTACCCGTACCACTGGTTGAAAAGCCCTGCACTAAACCACAGTTACAGAAACAGTATTTGTGTGTGTGTGAGCAGGACAGTGCAATAGTCCTTGACTTGCCACAGTTCATTTAGTGACTTTATAGTTACAACGGCACAGAAAAAAGTGACTTATGACCATTTTTCACGCTTACAACTGTTGCAGCATCCCCACAGTCATGTGATCAAAATTCAGATGCTTGGCAACTGACTCGTCTTTATGACGGTTGCAGTGTCTCAGGGTCATGTGATCCTCTTTTGCAAACTTCTAAGAAGCCACGTCAATGGGGAAGCCAAATTCACTTCACAACCATATTACTAACTGCCGTGATTCACTTAACAACTGTTGCAAGAAGGGTTGTAAAATGGGGCAAAACTCACTTTGCAATGGTCTTGCTGAGCAAAGAAAATTTTGGGCTTAAATCTGGTGGTAAGACAAACACAACCCGTATTTGTAACTGGAGGCTGAACTGTGGGGTCCCTGTTGCTCTCCGAGCTTGGTGGTTTTCTTGCAAAATGTTTCCTTACCAAACCAGGTAACACCACGGGTGCTGATGATGTTCCCTAGTTTGGTAATGAGACGTCTGCAGGAAAACTATCAAGCTCAGAGAGCGACAAGGACTCCTCATGCCGGGAGTTAATAGGATTCACTAGCAACCATGTCTAGACCAGTTTTTCTCAACCTGGACAATTTTAAGGCATGTGGACTTCAACTCCCAGAATTCTACAGGCTGAGAAACACTGGTCTAGACAGAAGCTCTTGAAGCTTCTATAATGCTCACAGTTGTCTTTTGCAGTGTAAAAAACTGGTTCACAGGCCGCTTTATTATTTTCCTCCACCAGCCTCTATTTACGCTGCTGTTTCTAATTTGCAGAAATGGTCTGACTACTTTGCAGATAGAACCGGGCTTTCATGAGTCTCTCTTCTTTCAGCGCTCAGTCATTCAAAACCCGCCTCTCGCCCTTCCTTGCGTCGAAGGCTCAACCATCTCCATTCATTCTTCTCAATTTCTTCCCTCCATCTGAATTTGAGAATACGTTCTTTCTGTCCTCCACAGGCCTATTTGTGAAGCCCGCATCTTCTACAGTTCATTGCCCTTAGCAATCAGGGGATTTTTATTGGGTTGGCTCCCAAGAAAACTTATCAAAGACTTTTTTTTTTTTTTTTTTTTAGTGAATCTTCTGGGTTTTTAACCGGGGCCGGCAGCTCAAAGAGTGAAAGAACAGTTCGTGCTGTTAATACGCTAAGTCTGTATGTAAAGTGACTCATACATCTTTCTTTCAGGTACAGGTAGGTGACGTTTGACCATAATTGGGACTGGAACTTCTGTTGCTAACCAACATGGTTGTTAGGCAAGTTGCATTCGATTTTATGATCTTGCTTGCTATACCCTGGTCAAGCAAATCTAGTTTCCCCGGATGACTTTCCTTGTTGGAAGCTTTCTGGGAACGGTGATCGTGTGATCCTGGGATGCTGCCACCATGCCAGTTGCCAAGTGCCTGATTTGCAATCCCATGACCATGGGGATGTTGCGACGGTCGTAAATCTTGAGGATCGGTTGCAAGCCGTATTTTTCAGCACTGCTGTACTTTGTCTATTTATGTATTTATGACAGTTGGGTTGTCCCAGAGTAGTAGTAATAATAATAATAATAATAATAATAATAATAATAATAATAATAATAATAATGGGACCTTGGAAGTCATCTAGTCCAACCCCCTGCTCAGACAGGAAACCCTATGCCAGGGGTCTTCAAACCTGGCCCTTTTATGACTTGTGGACTTCAACTCCCAGAATTCTTCAGTCAGCTGAGGAATTCTGGGAGTTGAAGTCCACAAGTCATAAAAGAACCAAGTTTGAAGACCGCTGCCCTATACCATTTCAGACAAATGGCTGTCCAGTCTCTTCTTAAAAACTTCCAGTGTTGGAGCATTCACCCTTCTGGAAGCAGGTTGCTCCACTGATTAATTGTTCTCGCTGTCAAGAAATTTCTCCTTAGTTCTAGTTTGCTTCTCTCTTTGGTTAGTTTCCATCGACTGCTTCTTGTCCTGCCTTCAGGCACTTTGAAGAATAGCTTGACTCCCTCTTCTTTGGGGCAGCCCCTGAGATATTGGAACACTGCTATCATGTCCCCCCTCGTCCTTCTCTTCATTAAACTAGACATACCCAATTCCAGCAGCCTTTCCTTATATGTTTTAGCCTCCAGTCCCCTAATCATCTTTGTTGCTCTTCTCTGTACTCTTTCTAGAGTCTCAACATCTTTTTTACATCGTGGTGACCAAAACTGGATGCAGTATTCCAAGTGTGGCCTTACCAAGGCATTGTAAAGTGGTATTAACACTTCACGTGATCTTGATTCTATCCCTCTGAGGACATGATAGCAGTGTTCCAATATCTCAGGGGCTGCCCCAAAGAAGAGGGAGTCAAGCTATTCTCCTCAGGACAAGAAGCAACGGATGGAAACTCATCAAGGAGAGAAGCAACCTAGAACTAAGGAGAAATTTCCTGACAGTTAGAAAAATTAATCAGTGGAACAACCTGCCTTTAGAAGCTGTGAATGCTCCAACACTGGAAGTTTTGAAGAAGAGACTGGACGGTCATTTGTCTGAAAGGGTATAGGGTTTCCTGTCTGAGCAGGGGGTTGGACTAGATGACCTCCAAGCTCTCTTCCAACTTTTTATTATTATTATTATTATTGTTGTTGCTGCTGCTGCTGTTGTTGTTGTTTTTCCTAAAGGAAAACAACCCTGGCTGTTCTTTGGAAGGACAGATCCTGAAGCTAAAACTCAAATCCTTTGGCTACCTAATGAGAAGAGAAGGTTCCCTGGAGAAGACCCCAATTGTGGAAAAGGCAAAAGAGGAAAGGGATGGCAGAGGATAAGATGGCTAGTGTCATCAACCCAATGAAATGAATTTGGGCAAACTCTGGGAGGCAGCCCACCACAGGGGAGGTTATCCATGGGGTCATGGAGTCAGACATGACTTAGCAAGTGAACCACAACAACAATAACCTGAAATTCAAGCCCACTAAGATAGTTAAGAAAGCAGGGTCTGTTCAAGACAAAGAAGACCGAGGCAAGACCTGAGAATGGTGCAATGAGTAGGAAAGGATCAATGAACTGAAACTTAAAAAAAAAAAAAAAGATTCGGGATGATTAGGAAAAATGTCTAATTAGGCAGAAGCTGGTAAGAAGTCGACCCATCTTCCTAGAAGAGACTTGGACCCCTTTCCCCATTGCTGGTGGTTTTCAAATGGGGACTGTGGGGGGGGGGGGAGGACTGCTGAAGATGGTTAAGTGGCTTCTCCCCCTGAACAGAGATCGGAGCAGTTCATGTTTATAGTCTAAATCATTCTGGGGCTTGATGAAAGCAGCCAAGAGCTTAGGGTGAACTGAGTCTTTCTCCAGAACTTAACCACGATTCCAACAAACCGCTTTAGATCAGCATCAAACTCTGGTATTGTGGTTTTTTTTTTTTTTAACCCAGGGCCCACCAGCGTCAAAAGTTTGGGATCGCCCACGTCTCTCCAGCTGGCAGCTGCCCAACTAGCCCCTGGCCATCGGAAGACCACGATGCACCCCCTCTGAACCATCACCCACCCTTGATACCACGGGATGGGCTTATGAATGCTCCGTTATCATCGCACCCCCCCCCCCCGCAAGAGGGGCCATCGCCAGGGATGGAAGAGGAGCTGTGGCGCCGTGCAAACCAAGGCTAGGCGGGCATCCGAAACGAGGGCACTTGGGGCTAGCTGATGCCCCTCGTGCCCTGGGGATCCATCCCAAGGAAGGACTCAAAGCGGCGGGGGCGGGCTGGAAAAAGGCTCCACGCTCCACAGCCCCCCACCCACCCACCCAACCTGCAAGCGCGGAGCGGGGCGCAGGCACGCGTGTCCTGGGTTCAAGAGCAGTCACGGCTGGAGATCCCCCCCAGTGTAGTGCCTGGGCACGAGTGGCTGGCTGGGTGGGTGGGTGGGAGGGCGAGGAATAAAAGTTGCGGGCACGGCGTTGCCTTCCCCCAAAGCGCCCCCGCCCAAATTTGGCAGGGCAGGTAGACCGGGCGGTTGCGCACCGCGGCTCCTTTGCCTGCGCAAGCCCCCCCACCCCCACGACCCCCGGCCCGGTTCGGCCCGGTTCGGCCCGGTCCTGGACTGCGCTGCGCTCTTGCAAAACAAGCCCTCCCTCGGCCGAAAGCGGCGCCCCCCCCGGGTGCGGGTGAGCGGCCGCCGCCGTTGCTACTCACGTTGTTGCCGAGCTCCTGGAGAGCCACCGCGCTCATGCTGGCGATCCGGAGGAAGAGGAGCTGGCCGCTGCCTCCTACCTCGGGAGCCAGCCGGGGGCGAGCCGGGCAGGGGCGGTGGCAGCGGCGGCGGCGTCCGGCGCGCGGGCCATGCGGAGCCGCTCCGCCAGGGGGCCGCCGACCGGCAGCCGGCCTGCCTCCAATCCCTGCCGGAGAGCGCCGCGGGATGGGCTGCGATGCTGCCGCCCCCGGCGCCGCTAGTGCCCGGAGAGGGCAAGCTTAGCGCGCTCGGGGCCGCGCCCTGCAATGCAGCCGCCGCCTGCTCGGGTCACCGGGCGCGGACTCAGCTGCCGCCCGGCCGAGCTAAAGGACTTTGGGTAGGGGGGGGTGGCCTCCCGCGCGTTCCCCCCCCCCAGCCCTCGCCCGCGCATCCCGCGCCGTTTCGGCCGCCCACCTGGCCGGCCGGGTGGTCTTGCCGGAGAATGGCCGTCTTAGCGCCAGGTCGCCATCTCAAGTTTCAAGTCCTCATGGTTGCGGAAGGGCCGCGCACTCGTTTCCCACTCTCCCCCCCCTCCCCTTCCGCCGACCCAAACCCCCTTCGTGGCGATCGATGGCTGGGGCGGAGGATGCTTTTAAGGGCGGGTGGCCCCGGAGTCCTGCCCCTCTTGCTACCTTTTGTGTGTGTGTGTGTGTGTGTGATTTATCATCTCGAGCTGAGGTTTATCATCTCGAACTGAGATTCATGATTTCAAGTTTCAAGTCCTCAGGGGTGCGGAATTGCCGCACGATCGTCCTTCCCCCCCCCCCCCCTTAGCTGACTCAAATCCCTTGCTTGCGATTGCTGCCTGGGGCTGAGGATGCTCACCAATCGTAGGGAGGCTGCATGGGGCGACTCTAATTCGGATTCTCCCGTTTTCCCCTTCAACCATTAGGCTAGGCACCTCCGTAGGCTTATACAGGTAGTCCTCGACTTACAACCACAAAAGAGCCCAAATTTTCTATTGCTAAACGAGACAGTGAATTTTGCCCCATTGGATGACCTTTCTTGCCCCAGTTGTTAAGTGAATCACTGCAGTTGTTAAATTAGTAACACGGATGTTGAGTGAATCTGGCTTCGCTCGTCAAAAGGTGATCACATGGGACGGTGCAACCGTCATAAATATGAATTGGCTGCCAACATCCAGATTTTGATCACTTGACTGTGAGGATGCTGCAAGGGTCGTAAGTGGGAAAAACGTCATAGGTCAATTTTTTTCAGTAGCTTTGTAACTTTTCAAAAAGTCACTAAACAAAAGGTTGTAAATCAGTGGTTCTCAACCTTTTTAATGCCGCGAACCCCAACCGGTCGTAAGTCGAGGACTACTCAACCGGTCGTAAGTCGAGGACTACTCAACTGGTGCAGCACCGTTTGCAGAATGGGACTTTTGGCAGGCTTAGCAGGGCTGAGACAGCCTGGACAATTCCTATTGGCTTTTGAAAGCCAATAGAATTACTCTATTCAAGAGAGTCTATTCTATTGGCTTTCAAAAGCCAATAGAATAAAAGGGAGTAGCACAGCTAAGGAAAAGGGGGAAAAAAATGGCGGACTGCGTTGTTTGGCGACCCCCGTGAAATGGTCGTTCGACCCCAAATGGGGTCCCAACCCACAGGTTGAGAACCACTGTTGTAAATTAAGGACTGTCTGTAGTGTACAGCAGTTCACCTTGCATTGAAAACGGCAACAATAACAGAGTTGGAAGGGACCTTGGAGGTTATCTAGTCCAGAGGTCCCCAACCTTTTGGGCACCAGGGACCGGTTCTGTGGAGAAAGGTTTTTCCACAGACCGGAGAGTGCGTGGTTTTGTCTGCTGCCTGCATCCCACGGATGGAGCTTTGCTTGTTTGTGCGGACCGGTTGCTGGCATGCTGCAGCCCTGTACCAGTCCACGGACTGGGGGTTGGGGACCCTTGATCTAGTCTAACCCCCTGCTCACACAGGAGACCTATACTATTTCTGACAAATGGTTGTCCAATCTCTTCTTCTGGTGATGAAGCCCCCACAACTTCCGAAGGCAATGTGTTCACTGGTTGATTGTTCTCACTGTTAGAAATTTTCTGCTTAATTTTATGTTGCTTCTCTCCTTGGTTAGTTTACATCCACTGTTTCTTGTCTTGCCTTCTGGTGCTTTGGAGAACAGCTTGACCCCCCTCTTCCTTGTGGCAGCCCTCAAATATTGGAAGACTGCTATCATGTCAGCTTTGGTCCTTCTTTTCATTAGACTAGGACTAGGTATATCCAGTTCCCGCAATCTTTGTACGTTGTAGCTTCTAGGCCCCTAATCATCTTTGTTACTATTCTCTGATCTCTTTCCAAAATCTCAACATCTTTTTTTGTATTGGAATGACCAAAACCGGATGCAGTATTCCAAGTGCGGTTTTACTAGGGCTTTACAAAGTGGTACTAGTACTTGATGTGATCTTGATTCTATCCCTCTGTTAATGCAGCATTGAATAGAATAGAGCTGGAAGGGACCTTGGAGGTCTTCTAGTCCAGCCCCTCCCCCCGCTTAAGCAGAAGAACCTATAGCATCTCAGACAAGTGACTGTCTAGCCTCGTCTTAAAAATCTCCAGTGATGGAGCGCCCACAATTTCTGGTGGTCAGCTGTTCCACTGGTTGATTGTCCTCACTGTCAGGAAGTTTCTCCTTAATTCCAGGTTGCTTCTCTCTTTGGTCAGTTTCCAACCATTGTTTCTCATCCTTCCCTCTGGTGCTTTGATGAATAAAGTGACCCCCTCTTCTATGTGGCAGCCCCTCAAATACTGGAATACTGCTATTATGTCTCCCCTATTCTTTAGACTAGCCAAATCCAAGTCCCACAGCCATTCTTTGTACATTTTAGTCTCCAGGCCTTTGATCATCTTAGTTGCTCTTCTCTGATTTTTTTGTAAACTCTCAGCATCTTTTTTGTGATATGGTGACCAAAACTGGCTGCAGTATTCCAGGGGTGGTCTTAACTAGGGTTTTATAAAACGGTACTAATACTTCGCGTGATCTTGATTCTATGCCTCTGTTTATGCAATCCAGGATTGTATTAGCTTTTTTGGCTGCTGCTGCACAAGGCTGGCTCATGTTTACATGATTGTCCACTAGGACTCTCGCTTGCAAACAAGTGTCTAGGCCAGGGGTAGGCAACCTTGGCTCTTTTATGACTCGTGGACTTCAACTCCCAGAATTCCTGAGCCAGCCATGCTGAGGGGAAAGGGAAAGGTTTCCAAGCTGAGCCATGCTGGCTGAGGAATTCTAGGAGTTGAAGTCCGCAAGTCGTGAAAGAGCCAGTTTCCCCCAAGCTGCCTGAGGAATTCTGGGAGTTGAAGTCCACAAGTCATGAAGGGACCATAGTTCCCCCATACTGGCTGAGGAATTCTGGGAGTTGAAGTCCGCAAGTCGTGAAAGAGCCAGTTTCCCCCAAGCTGCCTGAGGAATTCTGGGAGTTGAAGTCCACAAGTCATGAAGGGACCATAGTTCCCCCATACTGGCTGAGGAATTCTGGGAGTTGAAGTCCACGAGTCATGAAGGAGCCATAGTTCCCCCATGCTGGCTGAGGAATTCTGGGAGTTGAAGTCCACGAGTCATAAAAGAGCCAAGATGCCTACCCCTGGACTAGGGGATCAAGATGCTTTCTTAAGAAGCTCTGGGCATTATACCTCCAGAAATCAGAACTGAAATTTCTAAAGCTGGATCTCGTAGCACTTCCAGGGTTATTGACAGGCTTCATTCATCATACATAACCTTGTCTAATTCCCTTCTTCACTGTAACCTCATCCCTAAGTGAACAGAACCGCTTTTTCAAAAGCCGGATTAGATGCCATCAAGTATTCTGAATGGCAGATTTCAAAAATTCCTCTCTCCCAAAGATTATGTCCCTGTAACGGTCCTGATGCTGAAATGACGGAACACATTTTATTGTACTGTGAATTTTATAAAGAGTTTTTGGCAAGAAGCTATGAGCCCTCTTTTAAAATCTAAATAAGGAAAACATACTTCTGAGTATGTACAAATGTTGTTGGCAGATGAAAATGGCGAGATTTCAATGGCAACAGCCGGCTTTTAACGATGGCTATAAAAACAAAACTTTTAGTAACAAATCAATGAGTTGGGTGAATTTGGGCCAATCAATAAGCCATTGTACAGGTAGTCCTTGGCTTACGACCACAGTTGACCCCAACGTTTAACTGAGACGTTGGTTAAGTGAATTTTGCCCCATTTTATGACATTTCTCGCCATAGTTGTTAAGTGAATCATTGCAGCTGTTAGGTTAGTAACCTGGTTGTTAAATGAATCCGGCTTCCCAGCTGACTTTCCTTGTCAGAAGGTCGCAAAAGGTGATCACATGACCCTGGGATACTGCAACCGTCGTACATATGAACCAGTTGCCTCACATCCAAATGTTGATCATGTGACCATGGGAAGGCTGCAATGGTCATAAATAGGAAAAGCAGTCATAATTGTTTTTTTCAGTACCGTTGTAACTTTGAACGATCACTAAATGAACTGTTATAAGTCGAGGATTCCCTGTTTTTCCTTTTTATTTCAGTTTGCAGTTTTCAAATTCACGGGTCCTATCCCCCAAATACATGGGCGGTGTAAGTTCTCTAAACATCTTACAATGTACGTGGTGAAGATAAAAGTTTCCCCTATCCAATCAAATCCATCTCTAGGGGGTGGTGCTCATCTCCGCTTCCTAGCCGAGGGAGCCAGCGTTGTCCGAAGACATTTCTGTGGTCATGTGGCCAGTATGACTATGCACCGAGGCTCACGGAACACTGTTACTTTCCCACCGAAGTGGTACCTATTTATCTACTCACATTTTCCAGCTTTCAAACTGCTAGGTGGGCAGGAGCAAGGAACGGGAGCTCACCCTGTCATGCAGCAAAAGCTGGAGCAAGAAACGGAGCTCACCCTGTTGCGCAGGAGGAGCCGGAGCAAGGAACGGGAGCTCATCCTGTCGCGCAGCAGGAGCCGGAGCAAGGGACGGGAGCTCACCCTGTTGCGCAGCAGGAGCTGGAGCAAGAAACGGAGCTCACCCTATTGCGCAGGAGGAGCCGGAGCAAGGAACGGGAGCTCACCCTGTCGCCAGCAGGAGCCGGAGCAAGGGATGGGAGCTCACCCTATTGTGCAGGAGGAGCTGGAGCAAGGAACGGGAGCTCACCCTGTCGCCAGCAGGAGCCGAAGCAAGGGATGGGAGCTCACCCTGTTGTGCGGCAGGAGCTGGAGCAAGGGACAGGAGCTCATCCTGTCACGCAGCA